GTGACTGAAGCTCTCAACCGCTCCTTTTTTTCTTTTTTTTTTTATTCTGGGCCAGCTTTAGCTCTGAGGCTTGGCTCCAGCTCTGAGGCCTCGGCTGCTGAAAGCAGGTATCTGGTTTGTTTGGGTTCTATAATCGAAACACTGTTTCAACTCCAGCTCTGAGATCCCGGCTGGCTGAAAGCAGGTTTCTGGGGTTTTGTTTAGCTTCTATATTTGTAACAATGTTTCAAACTGCAAGCTCAGAGGCCAGCAGCAGCAGGCGGGGAACGTTGGAGTCCTCCGTCACTGAAGCAAGCAAGCCTCATGTTCACTTCAAGCTGCCTGGCTGCCGGCTGCCATCTTGGCTGGCAGTTAATTTGCATATCGCCCTGATTAGCCAATGGGAAGGGTAGTGGAGTGACACCAATTTGCATGTTTCTCTTTTATTAGTGTAGATGTGCATAACTAGAGTTTTTGTTTAATATGTTGGAGTCACCGATACTCTAATCAACTTTTTAAAATTCTAATTAGTAAGAGAATGGAAGCTTGAATCCATTAGTAATTAGGAAAGAAAAATTGATAATGAGATTGACGTTTTAAATTACTTTTCAAGGCATTTAAAAAATTTGATTTCATTCTTTACATCATCAGAGACAAACATTTCACCCTTCATCCTAAATATCAAAGGTCCTGGTGCATTGTTATGAAAAACTGCCCAGCAGTGAACTCTATGAACTGAGATGTAAGCATGTTGGCATATCTACTTTACATTTAGAGCACAGTTTCCTGTTGCAAAGAGAACAGCAGTTTTTCATTTGTCACCACATGGCAGGAGGGCATTGCTGCTGTATTTTCATTTAGTGAAATGACCCTGAGGCCACAAAATGTGCTCTGAGTGACATAGTGGTTTGTGGCACTGGGCTAGGAGCCCGAATTGTTCATTCATTTTAGCACAGAGTTTCCTTAGAAGGAAGTGTGTCTGGGCTGGAAATATAACCTCCTAAAAAGTACTCAGTAAGATGGACTGTGTGTCTAAAGGTTAAACTGTTTTTCTAACAGGTGTTCAATGGCATTAGAAGTAACTCACCCGTGCTCGGGAAGCTATGTAGCAGTGTGAATATAAGTGATGAGATCAAATCTTCAGGAAATACAATGAAAGTCATTTATTTCACCGATGGGTCCAGGCCATATGGAGGCTTCAGTGCTTCCTACACATCCAGTGAAGATGCAGGTAATACAGGGTGTTCTAAATACATATGCTTGCAGATGTCCCCGCAGCTACTGCCCACAGCAGCAGAGCCATCTACTTCAACTTCAGTGATTAAAGTTACAGCAAGGATCTTCTACATAGACAGACATGCATAACCAGATAGAAAACCCATGATGGATAAGAATTTAAAAATAAAAATTCCTTTGGTTTTGGAAAGAAGACTGCCATTGTGAATTAAAACTTTAAAAAATGCTGTTAGAAGAGGTACTAGTTCAATTCCATGATTATAGCTGGTTTTCAGTCCCGCAGTCCTCTGTCATTCTTTTGTGCTAGGAGACCATCTTCCTCTTAGATAGAAGGTAATTCCCTTCCAGAAAGTATCTACATTAATTTAAGACAGAGATAGTTTACTGTTTCTTAGTAATCCATCCTTATACACATTTCCAGCGTAAATGAATGAGGAGTTCACATTTGACGTAGAGTATTTGAAAATTAAGCAGGGTATGGCTTTTCTATTCTAAATATCCTCCTACTCTCTGGATTTATGTTATTATCTAAGAGGTTTTAAATTTAGGAAAATTTGAACTACATATTAAAAGACTTTAAGTTATTGACATATGAAGCCTCTATTTCCTATTTAAAGGGTCAATTTATTGGCACTGTAATGTTATATGATCTGTTTGATCCAATTAAATTATTGGATCAAGTGGAGAATTGCTAATTAGAAGCCATTGGGACCACTGTTATATTTAAATATTCCTCTAAATTAAATATTAATGAGCACCCAAATTAGGAGATATTGATGCAGTGCCAAACCCTACCCACTTATTCTTCACCTACAGGAAAATAAAGAAACTGCTCATTTTTGCAAATATTTTGTTCTAAACCCACAGAAACTTCTTCCATAGTTTGCATGCATGAGCCAGCCATTTACCCACAGCCTTGACTTCACCTAGAAAAAAAAAAGTAAAAATGTTGCTGCTATTGTTACTGATCATTCCTATATTGTTTGTGTCTTCTTTTGTGGCATGAGTTTTACTATTTTCTCTGTTGCCTTTTGTGTCTTTAGTGTGTGGTGGGGCCCTTACCAACTCCCTGGAAGGAAACTTTACTTCTCCTGGCTATAATGGAGTCAGCAATTATTCAAGAAACCTGAACTGTGAATGGACTCTCAGCAATCCAACTCAGGGAAATTCATCCATTTACATTCATTTTGAGAGTTTTTACCTAGAAAGTCACCAAGACTGTCAGTTTGATGTCCTAGAGTTCCGAGTGGGTGAGTCCAATTGGATCATGTTCTTCTATTTATCCACAGTCTTCTTCTTATGCCTGGAGACCACCTAGGATGAGAGGAACCGGATGGCTGAAATATACGCACATAGGGTCCAAAAGAGTGTTGGTCAGCAGAGCCATAATTCAGTGTGTGCCCAGCGGAGGAACACGTGCCCTATGAGCAGTGAGAGATATGAATCCGTGTTCATAACCAGACCGTGTGGTTCAACTGATGAGAGATTCTGGTTTGTCTTTGCTCTCTTAATGCGTTCAGGTGGCCCCTTCACTGTAACCCAGGACTCCAGATTTCTTTTCTCAGAGACTGGAGCATAAAATTGTCAGTATCAGTGGTTTACTGAACTTAAAGGATTCGTAAAAGCAGCTGTGGAAGTCTACTTAGGCCTTAGAAGTCAAAAGAAGTTTCAAAATACACCAGATGGAGAAGCACCTGGAAGTCATTTGAGGAATCATCCCCAGAGCGGTCAAGTTTGTCTTTGATTTCAGGATAGAAAAGGCTTGAGGTGTACTTGGTAAACCATAATTCTCTTAAGGATGTTTAAATATCTTCATTCATGAAACATGAATACATTTTAGTTCTTTCCCATAGTCAAGGCATACATTATCCATTGATATTCTTTTCTGGGTTAAAAAACAAACAAACAAACAACAAATAGAGAAGGAAAGTAACATTGTAGACCATCTATTTTGTCCAAGATTCACCAAGTTCCATGTTATTGCAAAATGTAAAGAAAAATAGGCTGAAAGCAGCAAGAACTAATGTAGTTTGCTGGTGGCAATGTTCTGGGGGCAACTTGAGGAATCAGTGGTGGGTTTGAGAACATGGAAGATAGCATTTTCTAGAAGGAGAATTAGATAAAGTCTATGGTCATAGTCCAACTACTTCAGCAGGAGAACCATCTGGGCTTCCCAAGATAGACAAATCTAGAGGAGGCTTATGAGAGAAATGGATGTTGTAGTTTGAGAATGTTCTCCATGTAATTCTGGTAAACCCTCACCACTGCCACCTGGCTCAAAGCCACTGGCTCATAGAATCACATAAAGCAGTTAAATGCAATCTCTCTACTCCCCCAGTTTACAGACAGTGAAAATACTATCTTTTGTTGACTTATAAGATCAGTGATGTTTTTTGACTCAAAAAACAGAGAGCAGATCAGTGTGAGTGCTGCAGGTGCACTATAAATGTTAATTACATTTCTGTGAAAAGTAATCTTCATAAAATATTCAGCTCCAATGTGATAGTTCTTGGTCTGAGTACTAATACCTTTTATTTTAGTTTATTAAATTCAGTGAAGAAATCATTGAAATATTAGGTACTTACCTTATTTATTTATTTATTTTAAGGCTATAGGAGACTTTAGTAACACTATCAAGCAACATGACCTAATTGACATTTTATAAAATGCTTCACCAAATCACAACCAAATACACATTCTTCTCAAGGGCACATGAAACATTCACCACATTGATTTCTAGATTTAGTATAATCACAATCAAAATCTCAGGCAATTTGGGATATCTACAAACTAATTCAAAAATTTATATGGAAATACAACTAGACTAGCCAAAACAACTTTTAAAAAGCACAAAATTAGAGAACATATACTAATTTATTTCAAAACTTACTGTAAATCTATAGGAATAAAAACAGTAAAGCTATGTTGTAAAAACAATATAGTATTGGCAAAAGTCTAGATATACAGTTCAATATAACAGAATAACACAGATTCACCTACAAAAATAAGGACATTTGAATTTGGACAAAAGCACAAAGGCAATTCAATGGGGGAAAATCTCCTTTTCAAATAATGTGCTAGAGCAAATAGACCTCTATATGCAGAAAGAGAAAGAGAGAGAACTTCAACCCATACCTCACATTATATACAACACTTAAGATGTATCATAAATTGAAATGTAAATCTAAAACTACAAAACTTCCAGAAGAAAAATTCTTTGTAATCTTGGTTAGGCAATGTGTTCTTAATAACAACACTAAAATCATTTTAAAAAATTGGACTTCATCAAAACCAAAACTTTTGCTCTATGAATTATACTAAGAAGATAAAAGGATAAGGAGAAGATATTTGCTAATTATATCAAACTCAATAAGAAAACAAATAAAATACTGGGTGAAATAATTGAATTGATATTTTTTATCAAAGAAGAAATACAAACAGCAAAGGAAAAAAAGCTCAACCCCATTAGTCATTAGATAAATGCAAGTTAAAATCACAATAAGACATTAGAAAGTTAAAATTTAAACACACACACATACCAACAATACCAAAGGCTAGTGAGAACACAGAGCAACCTGAATATTCATACATTGCCGATAATAATGAAATGGTGCATCCACTTTAGAAAACATTTCCTATAAAATTAAAAATACTTTACTATATAACACAGTGATCACACTTCTAGGTATTTAGCCAAGAGAAATTTAAACTGTGTTCACATCAGAACTTTATACAAAAACTTATAGCAAATTTAAAAACTTCATATTTTCCTGATGCCTCAACATCCTCACAAACAGGCTGTGAGCAGCCCGCCTAGGTGACCAGGTGAACCAGCGTGATAAGGCCGGTCCCTGCCACAAGCTCCCCTTCTTGCCCTCCCTGACTATGGTCTGGTGACATTCAAATGCACCAGGGAAATCCCTCACACCTTTTGTTGCATTCTCCACCCTGACCCCCAATAAAGGCACTTGCTCACAGGTCTTCACTCTCTCTGGGCTCCCCACCTGCTTGGTTGACTTGCTCACGGGTCTTCACTCTCTCTGGGCTCCCCACCTGCTTGGTTGAGCCAGTTCCCTGGGCACTTCTCTCAAAAGATCCCCTGCCCGCTTCTTCTAGGACCGTCTCTATGCAGTCTCCACTTTCTGTCCTTGGTTGTCAGGTTCTCTCCAGCCAGTCTTCAGGTGACTATTCAGGATGGTTTTTCTGTATTTTAGTTGTAATTCCAGTTTGGACCTGGGAGAGTGTCAGTGTAGCTTCCACTTAACCAGCCGCCATTTTGGAATTCTATCACTTTTATCTTGATCACGTATTTTGTCACTGTTGTTTTATATTTCTTACTCCCTAAAAAAGAGGGATCCTTGACTTCACCTAGAAAAAAATGAAAGCAGTAAAACATTCCATCTAGTTCCATCTCTGTTTAGATATGCTAAAATAATTATGAAAATATAAATTAGAATAATATGGCATCTATATTAGAGAAAGAGGTCTCTACCAAAAAATATATATATTTTTTTTTTATTTTTACCCTGCTGGAGGGACTCTTTCTTTTGCAGTTGACAAAGATGGAAAGGAAATTTTTGAAATGTCTGCTATTAAATAATTTAAACGTGTCATGAATACCTTGAAATGTTGTTATTATTGATTCTTACTGAATTCAGTTAAAATCTATATAAATAATGGCACTTGGTGTGATATTTTGTTCAGGTAATGCTGATGGGCCTCTGATATGGAGACTTTGTGGACCTGTAGCATCTACAGTGCCATTGGTTATACCTTATTCTCAGGTATGGATACACTTTGTCACCAATGAACGTGTTGAACATACTGGATTCCATGCAGAGTATTTCTTTACAGGTAAGACTTCTGATTAAGCTCTCAAACTCTGGCAATAAAATACTAGATAAAATTTTCATAATAGTTTCTGTAAAGATCACATATATATTTTGTTAGATTTATTTCTAGGTTGCTATTGGTTTTGTTGCCAATGTCAATAAGACATTCTAAATTACATTTTCTGTTTGGTTGTTGCTGATATCTAGGAATTTTTAATTTTTTTACATTGATCTTTAGCACAGAGATCTTGCTATACTTTCATTAGTTTTAGTATTTTGTCTATAATTTTCTTGGTTTTTTTTTCTGTGTAAACCATCATATCTTCTGCAACTAATAGTGCTTTATTTTCAGCCCCAATATTTTATTTCTTTTTCTTATATTATTTCATTAGCTAAGCCATTATCATAATTTTGAATGGAAGAGATGATAGCATCTTTTTTTTTTTTACCCTAATGTCAGTGCCTATGATATTTCATTGTTAAATATATTGGTTGTTCTTGGGTTTTCAATAAATACTCCTTGTCAGAATAAAGTAAGTTTTTTAAATTCTTAGTATATGAAAAGTTGTTTGCTCTTTTTTTTTCTGTGAATGGGTATATAAGATTTTATCAAATAATTCTGCATCTATTGAGATGGTCCTATTTTTTCCCTTTTAATATGTTAATGTAATAAATTATATTGAAAGATTTTTTTCTCTTGTTAAACCATTCTTTGATTTCCAGGATAAACCCAATCCAGAAATAAATCTAACATGGTCATGGTGTATGTTTTAAACATATTACTGGATATTATTTGCTAATGTTTTGTGTTGGATTTGTATCTGTGACATTCATTTTAATGCCTGAAAATTTCACCCAATACAGGCAGGACTCCTGTTGCTTCTTTGGACCATTAAAGTTTTTCTAGCTCCTTTTCACCAACATGGCAGTTCTTTTAGATTCCCAACTTGATGCAAAACTTTCAACTCCATTCCTTGGTTTTGTGGAGGTGCAAGGCCATGTATTCTCTTGCTGTCTGGTCATCAAAACCTTAGACCCCAATCCCTGTGGCCCATATCTTGGTCCTGTATTCTCTCAGACTAATGCAACTTCAGTTTGAGATTACCCCTCAGAATTTGAGTACACTTATTGTTTGCAGATTTGGGAGATCCCCTTCCTTTCCATTATGTTTGGATATGAATCAAAAGGTTTTGGTTATGGTTTTATCTAACATCTTTTTTGTTACAATCAAATGGTTGATTGGGAGGAGTAAGATTGATTACTCAATCAACCATCTTGTCAGTTTATTTTTCTTTATTAAATTAAAATAAAGAAGTCAGACTTCAGGAAGCAGTGTTATTTGTATAAAACATCATACCATGCTATGCTTATTAAGTGTATCTGTTCTTCAAATTGCTATGCTAATGTGTACTGTGAAAGCTTACTATAGACATATATGTTTATTAACAGGTGACAAAGTCTTTAATTATAGCACTAATCATATTTTTTCCACTGGCCTAGTTTTTTCCAGAAAGGCAATGTTATTTATTTTGTCTCTAGTACATTTACTCTCAGTTAGACACACACCTAATTATTCTCCACTTATGGTACAGATTATCTTCTTTTTGCTTTATACTAAACTTGAGCCTGTTTTCACTATGTGATTCTGTATATGGCATTCTGTGTATTTCTAATCTTTAACCCAGTTTTACTTTGCTTTTACCCAATTTCACATATTTATTCATTTATTGTATTTTTAAATCATAAAATATGACAGTTTTAAGTATTACTTTGCCTTGGATTTGCAGGTATTTTTTTCCCTATCTTATTTAGAATGTCACAAATCTAATTTCAGACTGCGGTGGAATACAAACAGGTGAGAGTGGAGTGATCGCAAGCCCCAACTATCCAGCTTCGTATGACAGCTTGACCCACTGTGCTTGGTTGTTGGAAGTCCCACAAGGTGACACCATCACTGTGAGTTCAGATGCCTGACGAGTAAATTACTAATACCATTAGAACTACAATATCATGTCCTGTGTGGGAACAGAGTTCCTTTAATAAGTAAATATTAGGCTTTGATCTTGCAATCAGATCATTTTCTCCCTAAAATTCTCTCATTTGAGTATATACATTGACATCTATATGTTTACAATTAATGGAAGATGAACTCTCATTTTCCAGCATTGCAGAAGTCTACATAGGAGATAATTCCGCACCTGGAGAGCGGTGTGTTCATGTTCTTGATCTGCTTGCCATCCCGGCCCAGGGCACTGAGGAGGTCCTTAGTGCTCCAGTTTGGAGAGAAATATCCCTTCTCACAATTTCCAAGAGAAACTTCAATAAGGAAAAAGAGAGGAGGGCAGGGGAGAATTAAATAAGAGACATTAATATTAAATTGTATAAATTAAGACAAAATAAAATGATTTGGGGGACCTTACCCCACTCTAGGTAGATAAACTCACAACTGGCTTATAAAATAATAAGAGTGCCTCTTTATTGCTTCTCTCTTCTGCAGCTTACGTTTAGTGACTTTGACATTGAAAGCCATAGCACCTGTGCTTGGGACTCTGTCACTGTCAGGAATGGTGGTTCTCCCGGATCGCCCATCATAGGACACTACTGTGGAATGTCAAGCCCCAGTCCAATCCAGTCTGGCTCTAACCAGCTGGTGGTGATTTTCAATTCAGACCATTCGGTGCAAAATGGTGGATTTTATGCTACATGGAGCATGCACACTTTAGGTAAAAGAAACATTCTCTGCACTTACTATCTTTTTTCATTGAGTTATTTAAAAAATTTAATAACGAATTCAACAAGTATAAATTTTGTAACTACTCTCTGTAAGACTAAATTCTAACCGTGTCATCTCATGAAGCAGCCCTGCAAGGAAGACACAATACCAATACATATTTTTTCTCTTTTGCACAGGCGGAAATCTAGGATACATGGGTTAAGCATTTGCCTAGGTCATATAGTGAATAATCACCGGAGTCAGGATTTGAATAAAGACAGTGGAGCCCAGAAACTTTGATCTTAACACTTCACCATTCTACCTCCATAGCCACAGAATCACATGTAATTTAATATATTTGGAGCCTGGAGGAGGACTGATGAGTGGTGAGCTGATGGCAGGAAGATAAGAGTCTACCTCATGAAGAGCCTGGGCTTCCATATTACCTTTAAAGGGGGTGGGTGGGGGGGGGCTATTGAAGAGTGCTGAGCAGCAAAATCACAAGATAAGATTTGTGATTTAAGAATGAATGCTCTGCCTGTAGTACATGGCAAATAATCATACATATGATTTCAAAGGATGTAACTTTTGTGTATATACTAGTAAGATATGAAGTTCCCAGAAAATATAAGAACTTGCATTGGAGACTTTAATCCGGATTTCTTTAAAGCCTGCAGTGTCACACACACACAGGGCAATTCTTTCCAGGAGAGTCAGTTATCATGAAGATCTTTATGGAATGAGTCACATTTTCCCTCATTAAACCACTGGTTACTGTTGAAGTCAGAGGGGAGTTTTAGATGAACCACTGATTTTCCAAGGGTTTAAAAGCAGAAGATTCAGGGAATGCTCTTTAATTTGACTTCATTTTGTCTTGAGTCCCTACTTTTTTCTTTTGTCATGTCTTACCAGTGAGTATGTATTTCAATAGTATAAAATAATTCTAGATTTTCCTTTATGTCAATCTATGTAATTAATTTTCATCCATCAGTGCTTTAATATGAATGAATCATGGTGCTTAATGGAATAATTTTCCCATCCTCAAAATCATTTGCTCCAGTCCTGTGTGTTAGAGTTAAATTACAAATGACTATAGACTTGAATTCTCATGTGTTAGTGGTAATAAAATACAGAATTTGGGATTGCTGAGCCACAATGGTTATATAGCCTCACAGGAGTAAAGCATATTGATATCATTTGAAGACAGAATAGAAGCCCATCCTCTTTATGACAAGGATTAGAGTTCTCAGTTGAGTTCATAGGGGTGTAACAAAACAGCAACAGCTGACGCTTCCTGTGGATTCAATGCACCTTACATTCATTGAGTGTTCTTGTATACCTGCCCCAAAGGCCAGTGACTCATAAAAAAGGAAAGATGAGCTGAATCTCATATTTATAAATGTGTTTTATCTGAAAGTCTTGGTTTATCAAAATTGTTCTTTTCCTCACAAATTAATGACTTTTTTTCCATGACACTTTTTAAGGCTGTGGTGGAATACTTCACTCAGACAACGGTACAATCAGATCCCCTCACTGGCCTCAGAATTTTCCTGAGAACAGCAGATGTTCCTGGACAGTCATTACTCACGAAAGTAATCACTTGGAAATCAGCTTTGACAATAACTTCCTAATCCCCAGTGGTGATGGACAGTGTCATTACAGCTTTGTGAAGGTCAGTGGGCTTGTTTATTTAATTGAAGCAGAACTGGTTTTGTGAATATAAACATTTAGAATAGAAATGACTCATTGCCTCTTAAAGCAAGGAAAGGACAATTTTGCTCCTTGGATTTCTTGAATTAAAAAGTAAGAAATCTCACCCTGGCTGGATGGCTCAGTTGGTTGGAGTGTCGTCCTACACACCAAAAGATTGGGGATTTGATCCCAGGTCAGGGCACATATGGGAGGCAGTTGATTGATGTTTCTCTCACACATCAATGTTTTTCTCTATTTTCCTTCTTCTCTCTTTAAAAATCAATGAAAACAGGGGAGATTTTTTTTAAAAGTGAGAAAGCTCAACTATTAGGAATTAAACTTTGAACCATAACTCATGTTGCCATGTGACTTTTCATTTGCTAATACATAAGCAAAGTAACTTAAAGAGATTATTTTCTGGACTTTTTAAATTCTCATGAACGGTTCTTCCTTCCTATAGAATTTAAAGACAGAGGCCAGAATTTGTTTGTTTCTTTCTTTCTTTAAAAAATATTTTTATTGATTTCAGCGAGGAAGAAAGAGGGAGTGATATAAACATCAATGATGGGAGACAATAGTTGATCAGCTGCTCCCTGCACCCTCCCCCCACCCCCCCACCTCGACTCGGGATGGAGCCCACAACCTGGGCATGTGCTCTTGACTAGAATTGAACCTGGAACTCTTCAGTCCGCAGGCCTACACTCAATCCACTGAGCCAAACCTGCTGGGGCTGTTTGTATCTTAGTGCCTCTCTCTCTCCCTCCCTCTCTCCCTCCCTCCCTCTCTGACAAAGTGAATGTAAGGCTCCATTGTAGACAGCATTTAAAGTATGCCATAAAATTTACATAGGCTAGAGCGGTGGCTAGTGCAACCTTCACTTTGACCTTAAGAGACCACAAGCTGAAAAGACCATGAGACAGGCCCATGTAAAATCATCTCTCTTGCACATACTGCTCATGTGGCACTGACCTCACTTTTCATTGACTATGATGACTGTATTATAAATCCATTCCATCTGTGCTCTTTTGCATCTTATATGTTTTATCTCTAATAGGCAGGCTAGGCCTTTTAGTGGAAAGAACAGCAGCCTTAAGTTCATATTAGCCTGGACTCTACTCATATCTCTTGCATTTACCACCTGCATGTTGCTCTGTGAACTAATTAAATGTTTGAACTTTAAATTACTCAACCATAAAATAAAGAGCACAAGTCCTACTTTAATAAGATTGTTTAAGCATTAGAGGCAATATGATATAATAACCTAGTGTTCAGTACTTGGAATATAACACCACCTAATACATAAAAGTGACTTGTATTGTTAATGTTATTATTACACTGTCTCTCAAATTATGTTTTATATCTAATTGATCTATGCTTACTGTTTAAATAAGAACCCCATACTTATATAAAATATATACATAATTAAATGCATTTAATATACACTTTTCCTAACTGCTTTTTTCATGAAACAAATGAACTCTCTCCCTCATGGACTGAGTCACCATCTAATGCATAGATGTAAGACTGGAAACTTCTTTAATTATAAAAATGGACCTCAAAAATTGCTGAGCCCCGTTTTTCCTCTGGACAGACTGGGAGTCCCTGTGACAGCAGACCAAGCCAGCACCACCAGGGGCAGGGGCAGGGGCAAGTCAGAGCCCTGCCCAACTGAGTGGCCTGGGGAAGCACTCCTACTCCTGCCGCTCTGAGACTCTTGTTTCTAACAAGGGATACACAGATTGGGAGGCAGAACCAGCAAGAATAACCCACCTTTAGCAAGCAAACTTAAACCTCACACCGTATACAAAAATTTACTCAAAATAGGCCATAGACTGTAAAATATATAGCTATAAACTTTCACGGGAAAAATAGCAGATCTTCAGGATCTACACGTAGGTGAAAAGCTCCTAGACTAAATATAAACAGAATGATTCATAAAAAGGTAATTAATGAATTTTATCTCATCAAAAGTAAAAATGTGTTGCTTGTGAATGCCTCTGTGCAGAGGATGAAAAGACAGGCTACAGACTGGGAGAAAAGATTCTCAAGCTGTGTATCTGGCAACAGACTACTATTTAGAAAATACACACAACTCTCAAACCCAACAATAAAAATGCAAAATTTCAACTAGCATATGGGGAAAAGATATGAACAGATATTTCACCAAAGACAATATATACATGATAAATAAACACATAGAAAGATGTTCAACATCACTAGCTGCTAGGGAAAATGCAAATTAAAGCCACAATCAGATATTGCTATTCACCTCTCAAAATGGCTAAAATTAAAAACAGTGACAAACACCAAATCCTGCCAAGGAGTGGAAAGCTGTGTCACTTATCCATTGCTGGTGGGACAGCCACTCTGAAAAATAGTTTGGCAGTTTCTTATGCAACTAAACCTACACTTACCGTAAGATCTAGCAATTTCACTTTGGGCATTTATCCCAGAGTAATGCAAACTGTATTTACAGAAAAACCTGTATATCGATGTTCATAGAAGCTTTATTTGTAATAGCCCCAAACTAGAATCAGTGCAAATGTCCTTCAACAGTTGAATGGTTAAATGAACTTTAGTACATACACACCATGGAATACAATCCTCCATAAAAACAGACTATTGACAGACTAACACAGCCGTGGGCAAACTACGGCCCACGGGCCAGATCCGGCCCGTTTGAAATGAATAAAACTAAAAAAAAAAAAAAAAGACCATACCCTTTTATGTAATGATGTTTACTTTGAATTTATATTAGTTCACACAAACACTCCATCCATGCTTTTGTTCTGGCCCTCGAGTCAAAAAGTTTGCCCACCCCTGGACTAACAATTTAAACAAATCACCAGGGAGTTTTGCCAAGTGAAAAAAAAAAAAAACAATCTCAAAAGGTTACATAATCTATTGTTCCATTTATATAATGTTCTGGAAATGGCAATATTTTGAGAATGGAGGACAGAGAACCAGAGGTCAGAGAGGAGGGGTGTAGATGTCAATTGTGTGGTTATACTGGTAAAAGGGCAACTGTAGGGATCCTCATGGTGTTGGAGCTGTTGAAAGTGGTGGCACAGACCTTATCTATATATATAAAAGGCTAAAATGCTAAGTATCCTTCCATCTGTCTGACTGGTTGCTATGACGCGCACTGACCACCAGGGGGCAGATGCTCAACGCAGGAGCTGTGCAGTTGCAATGACTTGGCAGTGGAGGTTCTCGGTGACGCACCCCAAAACCAGAGAGGAGGGAGCCCAATTCCTCACGGGCCGCACGATTCCACCTTCGGCCGAGGGTTATGTTGTTCCTGGGGCACTGTCAGCCCCAAATCTGGTTTACTGCACACTTGGGTTTGCGTTCCACACCCTGTACAACAGCAATTTTGCAGAGTGCCCTCTCGCACTCCGGGACCCCTCGGGGGATGTCAGAGAGCTGGTTTCAGCCGATCCCCACAGGCCAAGGGACACCACCTGCTGGAGAGACCCCACTCACTCTGCAGATGCCTTTCGAGCCATGGAGCTACCCCAGGTGCAGCCGGCCAGGGAGGGACTGCAGGAGGTTGGCTCCAGGACGTGTCAGGCCCATCTCACCCAGTCCCACCCTACCAGCCACCTTCTAATTAATTTCCTTTCAATATGCACAAATCTGTGCACCGGGCCATTAGTATATAACTAAATATATACACACAAGTGTAAATACAAGTAAAACTGAGAAACTGAGCAAGATTGCTGGATTTTATTGATGTAAATATTTTTATACTATAGTTTTTAGGATATCAACATTAGGGGAAACTGGAAACTATGTACAGGGACTTCTATATTTTATATCTTACAACCAGATATGAATCTGGAGTAATCTCAATAAACATTAATTTTTTAAAAAAGTTACTTGAATGATAACATATCACTTACAACCAGGATGAGTTATAGAAAAACTTAAGTCAAAAAGTTTTTGACCTGATGACAAAATCATAGCATTTTGTAGATCCAATATAGGTTGATGAGTCCTGGGTCATTTAGCCAATGACATGAATTCTTGACTGAAAAGGCAGAAATGAATACTTAATAACTCTTTACCATTATTATCATTACAATATTTGTGGTCTTGGACCAAAAGGTGCAGCTGTCAGATCCATAATTAATGACATCAGAAAGGTATAAGCACATGAGTATTTTTGAAGTTCTTCATTAAAGAACTTCCTTATTAAAAGTTAGTTCCTATCACTTTGCCTTTTAATAATGTTTATAAAAGTAGTATATGTGTTAGTAAATCATGTTTATAATTTTACAAAATATAGAGAGAAAACTTCTGTAGACTGTTTCCCTGGATAATTAAAGGGGAAAATTAAAAAATATTAAAAGAGATATTAGGGAAAATGTTAGTGTGCATTTCTTTCCTGACACATTTTTAAAATTTTTAAAATACAATTTACATTTAATATTATTTTGTATTATTTGTGTACAGTATAGTAGTTAGACAATCATATACTTTACAAAGTGTTCTGGTATTTTCAGTACCCACCTGACACCATACATAGTTATAATATTATTGAGTATATTCCCTATGTTGTATTTTTCACTCCCATGACTATTTTGTAACTACCAGTTTGTACTTCTAAATCCCTTCACATTTTTTACCCAGTCCCCAGTCCCTCTGGCAACCATCAGTCTGTTCTCTATATTTATCAGTCTGTTCCAATTTTGTTTGTTCATTTTTTAGATTGATTTTTAGAGAGAGAGAAAGAGGAAGGAAGAGGGAGAGAAACAGAAACATCGATGTGAGAGCAGAACATTGATCTGCTGCTTCCTGCACCCCCCTACTTGGGACTGAGCCTACCACACAGGCATATACCCAAGTAATACTCTATTATATATATACTAGAGGCCTGGTGCATAAAATTCGTGCATGGGTAGGGTCCCGAGGCCTGGCTGGTGATAAGAGCTGATCTATGGGGCAACCAGGGGGGCAATCGGGGCCCCCACTTCCACCCGCCTTGGCCTGGCACTGCCCACTAACCTGCTCCACCATCCCAACACGGTCCCACTCTTGTCAGGGCCCATTGGGGCCAGCAGCACCTTCACTGCTGCCCACTGCCAGCACCGTGTCGCTGACACCCACCACATTCCATGCTGCCCCCTGGTGGTCAGTGCACGTCTAACTACTGGTCGGTCGAACTCTCGCCTGTGGGGACAATTTGCATATTAGCCTTATATATCCACTTTTTTATCCACTCGTCTATTGACATAGTAGTGCACATTGCTGTTCTCTCTCTCTCTCTCTCTCTCTCTCTCTCTACCTAGCTCAGCTACCTAGATCAGGTCAACTAGGAGAAGGCAGGAAGAAACTGAATAGTGATTGAGTTTTTAAAAATTACTATCTAGCTACTCTTGAAAGAGTAAAAAATCGGATATGCTATTAAAATGCAGCTTAAAATTTTGCTCTCAAAATCAAATATTTCAGATTTGCATGCAGTTTATTTGCTATAGTATTATGTTTAGGTCGATATATACCCTAGAGCCATTGTTTTCCAGCATAGGCACATTAAGATATTGACAGGAAAACCTTGAGCATTAAGTTGTGTTTGTGGCTTTGCTAGGTGTGGGCAGGAACTGAGGAGATGGACACAGCCCTGTTAGCCACGAGCTGTGGGAATGTGGCTCCCAGTGCCATCATCACTCCAAGAAATGCATTCACGGCCGTGTTCCAGTCTCAGGAGGCCCCAGCCCCGGGCTTCTCTGCCACCTTTGTAAGCCGTAAGTAACACCAAACACCAAACTGAGAGGTCCTCGAAAGGGTGTGGCTGCCACAGGCAGGCCTGGGGAAGAGTGGGAGAGACTGCGCCAGGGTTGGCTGGAACTGGGGGTCCCTGGGGAGCAGTGTGGCTTGGTCACCTAATCCTGAAAGTTCCCCCATCCTTCAAAACCCAGTGAGAATGGAACTGAACTCAATGGTAGGTCCATCGAGAAATGCTGTAAAAGGCCTGAGAGCCATTAACACATCCCAAAAGAAGCCTAACATCTGGAGTGCACGAGAATTTGGCAGGAGCGCAGGAGGTTGATAATTAGTAGACGACCAGGTCCCTGACATGTGGCACATTGACTGCCTGCTCTGAAGTCACCTGGGCCTTTAAAAATGAACTGATTCTCAGGTCTCACCCGATCCCTCTGAATTCAGAATTTCCATGGGTGGGGACTGGTATGTTTTAACTCTCACCCAGGTGGTTCTCATGGTCAGTAACCTTGAGAGCCACGTTCTTCAGAATTTTTTTTTCCTTCTCTTATTACTACTTACAAATTAGGTTACTGGGAAATGGAGCAGTTTTTAAGCCCGGGAACCAATGGTGTGTACCTGTTGGCAGAAGCAAATTGAGTAGATCCTAGCTGCAAACTACTGTTTAGGGGGAAATCCGATGAAAGGAATTGGAGGAAATAATGCAGAAAAAGGATGGTTTAGACACAAATAAAAGAATGAGGGTGTGTAAAGGAAGTAATAAAAGACAGCCACAGACCTAACCTTAGGTCTTCACCTGGTTCCTCGTCTGTGTGTCTGTGCATAACGGTGTGATTTAATATCAGTTTAAGGGACACTGATATTTTTTATATGATAGATTAGCAAGTGATGTGGATTAACTAGCTAGTGGCTATATGGAAACATGTTATTTTACTGATAAAAGGTAGTTCTGTTTCTGACACCAGGGATGCATGTGAGAATTTTATTAGTTGGGATTAGTACATTCAACTTTTTAAAAAAGGCAGAAAAGCAGGTATTTTTATGGAAAGATTACAATGGTAATGCAATACTATAGTTTTATAGTAATGTAAATAAGATGTTTCTGTACCAATCATGTACAAATCACTTTTTATCAGTCTTATTTCTTTATCTACATGAACCATATTAAATCTTTTCTAAGTTATTCTTCACTATCTTAAAATTAAATGATTTTCAATAGATTTGTGGTCAAATTTCTACTACTTAGCCCAAAACCCTGCAGTATTTTCTAAAACTATGTAATGTTCTCATTTATTTATTTTTAAATGAGAACTCCATTTTCTTAGTTATTGTTTCTTGCACTTGGAGTACCTCAGGGAATATGTCTCTATACAATTTAGGAAATTTGAGTTTTTTCTTCACTGATAAAAAGATACTGTATATTCTGATAATGCCTTTTTTTCCCTACATAGGATGTGGAAGCAATTTCACTAAACCTTCAGGCTACATTATTTCTCCAAACTACCCGAAGCAATATGACAACAACATGAATTGCACTTATTTCATAGAAGCTAATCCTCTGTCTGTGGTCTCCTTGACTTTTGTGTCTTTCCATTTGGAAGGTAAGTTTATTCTTATGTGAATTACAATTGATTTCTTTGATATTTATTGTTGAGAATATTACAGATGTCCCCCATTTTCCCAGCTTTGCCCCCTTCACCTGGCCCCTTCCCATCCCAGCCTTCACTGCACTATTGTCTGTATCCAAGTGTTATGCATATATGCATGTAAATTCTTCGGTTAATTTCTTCCCTTTCCCCCTTCCCCCTTCCCTCTGAGATTCATCAATCCGTCATGCTTACAATGGAATATACAATTGATTCTTAATAAAAAATGAAGGATAGTAGCAGCAGATATAGTCTAAAATCACCACTTGAAGAAAATATTTAAAATGCTACAGAGTACATTTGATGTAAATTTGATTAAAATTCCACCCAATGTTTTAAGAACACATGTACCATGCTGTATATTCCATCCAGAAGTGAAAAAATAACACAAAAGCTTTAGTACACAAGCATCACAGAAATAGCTTAAGGAAAATAAATCTTAAATGTATTACATTTTAATAATAGTTTTTAATTTATTCCTTTGCATTTATACTCTATATGCATATATACTCTACATGCATATATACTATATATATATGTATATATAGATATACGATCATGCACATACTATAAACATACTAGCAAGAGAAACAATTTATCAAAGCAAAATTAATAAATATCTAAACTTTACTTTTATTAAGTATTACTGTGGGATACCTTTTCATCTCCTCTCTCTCTTTTATCTTCATCTCTCCCATAGTTTTGTGAAATCCCTAACCACAACTGCCTCTTTGGGTTCACTACAGATTTTTTAGAAATTAATTTTCATTTCTAAATTATAACTAATCAGTAAATGTAACAAGCTACTTCTGCATAATCAAAACTTCTTTCTCTTTAGGTAGTCCACCATGACAGTGAAAAGTTACATTTAGCAAAATGTTTTACAGTGTTCAGTATCTGGGAAATTTATGCTGCATGAAAATAAAAATGACATGTCAGTCCTCATATTAATAAATTATACAAAACCTCTCCCTCACTTGATCCTTTTTCTATGACCTCTTTTTTCTATATCTCTACAAGCTGTGGCTTTGGGCAAATGTATTTGCTAGAAAATACTGAGTACAAATAGATGTATGTCACTGTAAAAATGGAATATGAAGTTAAATATACTCTTTTCAGCATTTTCTAGCACCAAATACCAATAATATAAAAAGATGTTCATGATATATATAGTATTAGGAAAAATAAAATAGTTTGTGTAAGATGACTCAGGTTTCTCTTTAAAATAACATACATATGATTAAAATCTGTAAGGCGCTTAAGCCATAGTTGAAGAGTTATTACCACTGCGCCATAGATTGTGATCTTTATTTTCTTCTTTATACCTTTCCTATTATTTTTATAATCAGAGGAAAGTTGTTTCAGCAACAGGGGAAAACATTTGGCATTGGTATGGGCATCTGTTCTCATTAAATTTCACAAATGGATGAATGTCATATGCCAATATCATTTAGAGTGAAAAAGGAGACACCAATATTTATGCTATGAAATGTTGCCACAAAAAGCACTGCTGATGTCAATGGGATATGTATTATTTACAAGGGAACCTACACTTACCCTAAACAGTCATGCGCTGAGTTTCGCTAGGTAGGTGGGATAAGTACTCTGACACCTGACGTGGGGTGTGGTTGGGAGAGTACAGCATTTCAGGATGGGTCCCAATGCCAGGTGGACCACTTAACTAGTCACCTACTGTGTGCAAATTACTTGATCTTTTTGATAATCACATTAATTTTTTACAAATATAAATAGTAGTTATAAAAGTCATATAATGCCTATAGAAACATATTTTGTGAACTATAATTCATCTGAGTGGCCATTGTATCATTATTATTGCTGCTGCCAGTCAAATCTCCAGATGCACCCCTACACAGTGGCCTCAGAGCAGATATTTGGTTTTTCAGATTAAGTGACTTTGACTTCTAGTCATCACCCAGTTGAAAAGACTGATTTTTAAAAATAGATAAAATCTTTATGATAATGCCTTGTGACATTTCCAGTGTTATAAGTACACAGTATTTTCAAACTCCTAAGTGAGTAATTTCTAGCTATGGATTAATTAAATTATAATGATATCCCAGAAAGGGCAACATTAATCACATTTATAATTAGATTCTTATCACTAACCATATCCATGCTGATGTTCATTGAACAACACTAAGAAGCCAGAGATTCGTTAGCTACAGTAAAAGTAACCTCCTACCCCTTCTAAAGTGAGCCCAAGGAATTCAAGAGCAGTATGTTGTGATAAAACAGGATTGCTCTCAAGAAAAATCACAACTTTTTTTTCAGGTGTTTTCAAGCTGCTGTAGATCATAGGAACTGTTTCTGAGGCACTATATCCAAATGACTAAGCATTTCTGAGCCTACCATCCCAGCAGAGCCATCATCGACCTCGGTTGAGATGAAGGTTCTAGATCTGGCCTTTTGGTGGCCTTTCCCAAGCTATAAAATCCTGCAAACACATTTGTCCATGCATTGTGTTTACTAAACACTGAGGTTTGCTCTTTAGGCTCGTATACTGATCATTCAACTGTATGCTGGTTCTTCCCATACAGGGAGGTTACAAAGGTTTAGTGAACTACTTTCTTTCCTTTTTAAAATTTTTAAAACTACTTTCCACTAAAGTTGCTCTAAAAGCATGTTATCATATTTTATGTTGGCCTAAATTTCTCTTCTCATTATTACTACATCTTCAATACTAGTCCTTCTAGAAACTACTTCTATATAATCACTGCTCTAGTATAAAAAATCCAGTGAAATCAGTTAACAGTCATGGGAGAAATTTTTATTTGAACATTTATTTATATACTACGAGCCCAGCGCGTGATTCGAAATTGCTCAGTGCTGCCCACCATGAAGTCGCCGGTCCGGCCCTGCTTCTCTCCCTGGGCCCCGCAGCAGCCGAGGCCCCTGCCGGTCCGGCCCTACCTCCCTCTCTGGCTCTTGAAGCAGCTATGGCCACAGCCATTGCTGATCAGGCCCTCCCCCAGCGCAGGCACATGGAGGCCCCTGCCGCCCCGCCCCCAGCACTGCGCATGCAACCTCCTCCTTTCCAGTCGACCCATAATGGCGTCCTGGTTAATTAGCATATTCTCTATCCTATCTAATAATAGATAAATATGGTAATTGACCGTACCTTTGTTATTCCTCCCATTGGCTAATCAGCGAGATATGCAAATTAACCCAACCAAGATGGCGGCCAGCAGCCACGCAGCTGAAGCAAGCAGGAGGCTTGCTTGCTCCAGTGATGGAGGAAGCCAAGGTTTCCTGCCTGCCGCG